ACCTGGAGAACACCTGGAGAATACCTGGAGAATACCTGGAGAGGGTTTTGGGGATCAACACCCCTGTGGCCAGGTCTGTGACCAGGCCTCCTGGTGGACCAGGACCTGATCAACCAGGCTATTGCTGCTGGCCGCACGCAAACCGACGTACGAACCATAGCCCAGCTAATCAGGTACTCACTTTAGGTAAAAAGCTCTGTTCCACAAGACACTGTACTCGCTCCCATTCTATTCTTCATCCTCATTTCTGGCATAGAGATGTAAGCCATAGCTCCGTGTCTTCCTTTGCGGATGACACCTGGATTACTATGGCAGTGACCTCCATCGAAGACACCGCGACACTCCAAGTGGACATTAACCAAATCTTCGAATGGGCCACCCAAAAACAATAAGAAGTTCAGATACGGTAAACTTGAAGAACTTAAAAATGTGTCAGAGTATACGATAAATTCTAACCGAACAACAGAGAGGAAAAGTAATCTGAAGGACCTGGGAGTGATAATGTCAGAGGCTCTCGCCTTCAAAGACCACATCAATGTGTCTACCTCATCTGCTAAGAAAAGGATAGGATGGATAATGAGAACCTTCAAAACTAGGGACGCCAAATCCGTGATGATTCTCTTCAAATCACTTGTGCTCTCTAGGCTGGAATACTGCTGTACACTAATGGCCCCCTTTAAGGCTGGCGACATTGTAGACCTGGAGAGTGTACAAAGAACTTTCACAGCACATATAAATATGATAAGGCACCTAAACTACTGGGAACTGTTGAAGGTCCTTGATCTGTATTCCCTTAAATGCAGGCGAGAGAGATACATGTTAATATAAATTTGGAAGGTCCTGGAGGGATTGGTACCAAACCTGCACACGAAAATCACTCCCTATGAAAGCAAAAGACTCGGCAAGAGATACAACATTCCCCGACGAAAAGCAAGGGCGCCATGAGTACACTGAGAGGCAACACAATAAGTGTCAGGGGCCCAAGACTGTTCAATTGCCTCCCAGCATACGTAAGGGGGATTACTAATAGACCCCTTGCTGTCTTCAAGAAGGCACTGGACAGGTACCTAAAGTCAGTACCTGACCAACTGGGCTGTGGTTCGTACGTCAGCTTGCATGCGGCCAGCAGTAACAGCCTTGTTGATCAGACCCTGATTCACCATGAGGCCTGGTCTCAGACCGGGCCACGGGGGTGTTGACCCCCTAAACCCTCTCCAGGTAAACTCCAGGTGCCTGTCCAGCACCTTCTTGAAGACAGCCAAGGGTCTATTGGGTCTATTGGTCTATTGTATGCTGGGAGGCAGTTGAACAGTCTTGAGCCCCTGACACTTACTGTGTTGTCTCTCAGTGTACTCATGGTGCCCCTGCTTTTCATTGGAGGGATGTAGCATCTCCTGCCAAGTCTTTTGCTTTCGTAAGGAGTTATTTTTGTGTGTAAATTTTGGACTAGTCCCTCTAGGATTTTCCAAGTGTATTTTATCATGTATCTTTCTCGCCTGCATTCCAGGGAATACAAATCAAGGGACTTCAACCGTTCCCAGTAATTTACATGTTTTATCGTACATATGCGTGCCGTGAAAGTTCTCTGTACATTTTCCAAAGCTGCAGTTTTGCCTGCCTTGAAAAGGGCCGTTAGTGTACAGCAATATTCCAGCCTAGAGAGAACAAGCGTTTTGAAGAGAATCATGGGCTTGGCATCCCTAGTTCTGAAAGTTCTCATTATCCATCCTATAATTTTCCTAGCAGATATGTTAAATACATTGTTGTGATCTTTGAAAGTGAGATCCTCTGACATTATCACTCCCAGATTCTTCACATTAGTTTTTCGCTCTACTGTCTGACTGGAATTTGTTTTATACTCCGATACAGTTTGAATTTCCTCGAGTTTTCCATATCGGAGTTATTGAAATTTCTCTTCATTGAACTTCACATTATTTTCCGCGGCCCATTTCAAAATTTGGTTGATGTCCGCCAGGAGTTTTGTAGTGTCCTTGATGGATAACACCGTCATGCAAATTCGGCGTGTCATCCGCAATGGAAGACAAGGTGCATGGCTGACATCTCTGTCTATGTCAGTTATACTTCTATAGGATAGGCTTCTCAGGAGTTTGTTCCGCTTCATCCATAATTGTATTACCAAACCAGTGTCTTCCTACATTCTTTCTAAATTTAATTTTTCCCAACTTTTCAACACACTGTTTATATCCCCTTATTTATTCTATTTGTACACTTCAGTCATATACCCCTAATTTAACGGGTTTCCAGAGAGCGTAGATTCAGTGCCCTCAGTCTGTTCTGCTTGGAAAGATTTCTGATACATGGGGTCAACTTCGTCATCCTTCTCTGTATGTGTTCTAACTCACTGATTTCCATTCTGTAATATGGAGACCAGAACTGTGCAGTGTTATATCTTCGAAATTGGTCATCCTGTGTTATTTAAATATTGTAAGAGCATATGTTCATCACTTAATATTATAGCGCGAAAGTCCCCGTTTATAGCTAAAATAGAGACTTTCGGCATTATATTATTATTATCTGTTAATATATGAAAAATACCATGGTATTATCGCTATTATCGTTATTATCACTATTATTGTTATTATCACTATTATTGTTATTATCACTATTATCGTTATTATCACTATTTTGTAATTATCACTATTATTTTATTATTATGGTTAGGTAGGATTTCTTGTGTATATAGAGTTTAAGTCTCGGAACCATCCGGTGAATTGTTCAGTTGTTTATGTCCGGCTGGCTGACGTGGCTCAGCTGATCCAACCTGACGACACGTCAACAGACTGGCAAGTAGTCAGTCTGCTCCCTGCTCTAGCCCTGACAACTGATCGTATATTGGCTCTTACAGTGTACAGTTGATTGGTTTTGAGAATTGGACTCTAGAGCTGACTCAATTTGTTCCTCATTACTTTGAAAGACTCTTTTGATATTTTATTTCTTGGTCAGTTCAGTAATCCATAGATACTTTACGGCCAGATTCAAAGGTCTTGTTAAATCTTGTACCTTTTGTATTTTGAGTTTACAGTCTTGTTAAGAAAGAGACGTAAATATTAATGAGGACTTAGATACAGGAAGAATAATTAAACTTCCTTATTAATATGACATTTCCATGATTTGGAACTAAATGTATATGGTAATTTTATTGTACAAAGTATTAAGTTAAATTAACTACAAAGAGAAGATAAAGTATTGTATTTAAATACTTTAATAAATTTGAATATTATTCTATGGAGTTTCCAGTTGAAATTATTTCCCCTAGACTCTAAAATACCTATAACTCGGATCCAAAAATCTTGTTGCATAAGAGATAAATGGTAACAGGCCACATTCTGAAGTTCTTTAAAAAAATTTCTTATTCGCAACATGCAGCATAATGTAAATGAGGCCTTACCTATAATATATTATGCTGAAGAATATCCCGGGATCTCCTATTATTGATAATTGTTGATATGAACCCAAAAAGAAAATTCTATTATCTTTGTTGTGAACACTTAGGTACTGTTGTCTTGGCTTGAGATCACTCCTAACAAGAGCTTCTACATTATTTTTGCGTTCAGAGTAAATGACATCTACATTATTTAATTTATAAGTGCCATGATTATCATCTTTCCAAGGCTTAGAACCTTACATTTATCTCCGTTAAACTGCATCTGTCTCATCTCTGACCACATCAATCTATCCAGATCTTCCTATAGCGCTCAAGTGTCTTCATTAGAATTTGTGTAACGTTCTATTTTAGTGTCATCGGCAAGCTTACTTATATCGCTATTAATTCCCTGACCTGTGTCATTTATGGCTACTGTGAACAACAAACGTTCCAACACTGACACTTGTACAACACCACTTGTGACTAGGAAAAAAATTCACTTCTGTTCAAGGTGCTTCTTCATTTTTGAGTAATCCCCTGTGTGGAACTCCATTAAAAGCCGTACTGAAGTCAATATATACAATATCGAATTCATTATCATGATCTACCACCTCAAACATCTTAGTGAAGAAAGTTGGTAAATTGGTACTGAGATTCATTTATCAGTTTATGTTTTTCAAGGAGGCTTCATGTTGTTTTGGCAATTATTGATTACATTAATTTTCCGCACAGTAGAGGCTAGGCTAACTGGTATATAGCGAAGCTAAGGACCTTATCTTCCTCCATATAGATTAGTATCACGTTTTTCCACTCATCGGCGCTATACCAGTGTTAAATAATTTACTGAAAGACTAGTTAATGGTTTGCTAAGTTCCTCCTTTCATTCCTTTATAACCTTGAAAACAGTTCATCGGGGCCCGGGAATATGTTAAGTTTTAATTTATTTGTCTGAGAATTCATGCCACCAGTGACTTTGAGTTTTCATAACTTATTTTCGTCCATAACTATGTAATTTTTATTTCTGGAATTTTGCTAGTATCTACCTTCATAAAAACCGGGAGGTAATAAGATTGTACTCCTCCACCAACACTCCCTCCAGCACCTCCTCCAAAATATCTCCTTCAGCACTGCCTCCAGCACAAACAATTGCTCCAACACTAACAATCACTCCAACAGCACTAACACACTGTTTCTTCAGCATTTTATGAGATGAGTAAGTGGATGACGTTACGTGCGAGGGCTTTGACGTCACAGGTCATAGGTCAGGTTGGGTCAAGGCTTGGTTATCTGAGCAGTTCCTTCATGAAGGTCAAGATGGTTATTTATGTATAATGGTAATTCTTCAACTATTGAACCTATTCTGCCTTGATACGAAGGTCACGGTGTAACCTTCAGTTTACTGAAAGGTCAAGAAATGTTGTTAGAAGGACCAGAGAGAGAGAGAGAGAGAGAGAGAGAGAGAGAGAGAGAGAGAGAGAGAGAGAGAGAGAGAGAGAGAGAGAGAGAGAGTTCTGTTATGAATGTAAGATAATCTGTTAAAATATTGTTAGTTAATTATCTGATAAATTTTATCATAAATATATTTTTCCATTTAGTAATGTTTTGAGTTCCACAGTGAAGAACTACGGGAAGACTCACTTCCGACGCAGCAACAGAGACGGGCAGGAAGGAACACTGGTGCAACAAGAAGTCTTCAGCGACTGTCCTCTCCTCTTCCACTATCTCTGTGTATTTGAAATCAACTCGGGTAGGCAGGAGTTCTACAAGAACCTCGCCAACTGGTTCTCCAAGTAGCAGTACTAGTCACATACACACACACATACACACACACATACACACACACATACACACACACACACACACACACACACACACACACACACACACACACACACACACACACACACACACATACACAGGGAGCAAAACTTGAATGGGAGAATGTGTCGCTGTGCATAGTTACATCAAGTAACTACTTGATAAAGTTCATAGTTACATCAAGTAACTACCTTGATAAAGTTCATAGTTACATCAAGTAACTACCTGATAAAGTTCATAGTTACATCAAGTAACTACTTGATAAAGTTCATAGTTACATCAAGTAACTACTTGATAAAGTTCATAGTTACATCAAGTAACTACTTGATAAAAGTTCATAGTTACATCAAGTAACTACTTGATAAAGTTCATAGTTTTCATCAAGTAACTACTTGATAAAGTTCATAGTTACATCAAGTAACTACCTGATAAAGTTCATAGTTACATCAAGTAACTACCTGATAAAGTTCATAGTTACATCAAGTAACTACTTGATAAAGTTCATAGTTACATCAAGTAACTACTTGATAAAGTTCATAGTTACATCAAGTAACTACTTGATAAAGTTCATAGTTACATCAAGTAATTTCTTGATAAGTTCATAGTTACATCAAGTAATACTTGATAAAGTTCATAGTTACATCAAGTAACTACCTTTATAAAGTTCATAGTTACATCAAGTAACTACTTGATAAAGTTCATAGTTACATCAAGTAATTACTTGATAAAGTTCATAGTTACATCAAGTAATTACTTGATAAAGTTCATAGTTACATCAAGTAATTACTTGATAAAGTTCATAGTTACATCAAGTAACTACTTGATAAAGTTCATAGTTACATCAAGTAACTACTTGATAAAGTTCATAGTTACATCAAGTAACTACTTGATAAAGTTCATAGTTACATCAAGTAACTTTCTTGATAAAGTTCATAGTTACATCAAGTAATTACTTGATAAAGTTCATAGTTACATGAAGTAACTACTTGATAAAGTTCATAGTTACATCAAGTAACTTTCTTGATAAAGTTCATAGTTACATCAAGTAACTACTTGATAAAGTTCATAGTTTACATCAAGTAACTACTTGATAAAGTTCATAGTTACATCAAGTAACTACTTGATAAAGTTCATAGTTACATCAAGTAACTACTTGATAAAGTTCATAGTTACATCAAGTAACTACTTGATAAAGTTCATAGTTACATCAAGTAATACTTGATAAAGTTCATAGTTACATCAAGTAACTTACTTGATAAAGTTCATAGTTACATCAAGTAACTACTTGATAAAGTTCATAGTTACATCAAGTAACTACTTGATAAAGTTCATAGTTACATCAAGTAACTACTTGATAAAGTTCATAGTTACATCAAGTAACTACTTGATAAAGTTCATAGTTACATCAAGTAACTACTTGATAAAGTTCATAGTTACATCAAGTAATTACTTGATAAAGTTCATAGTTACATCAAGTAACTACTTGATAAAGTTCATAGTTACATCAAGTAACTACTTGATAAAGTTCATAGTTACATCAAGTAACTACTTGATAAAGTTCATAGTTACATCAAGTAATTACTTGATAAAGTTCATAGTTACATCAAGTAATACTTGATAAAGTTCATAGTTACATCAAGTAATTACTTGATAAAGTTCATAGTTACATCAAGTAATTACTTGATAAAGTTCATAGTTACATCAAATAATTACTTGATAAAGTTCATAGTTACATCAAGTAATTACTGATAAAGTTCATAGTTACATCAAAATAATTACTTGATAAAGTTCATAGTTACATCAAATAATTACTTGATAAAGTTCATAGTTACATCAAATAATTACTTGATAAAGTTCATATTACATCAAGTAAAACTTGATAAAGTTTTCTTATCACTCGTCAGTAGCCTCTTAGTTTAAGAGATTTGGGGCAATTAGGTGTCAAAGTGCTGTACTCAAATAATGTACTTGCAAAGGTTCACTCAGTTACATCCAATGATTACTTGTAAAGTGTGTTTACAAGGAAATTTTTTTCAGCATGATCTTGTTGTAAAACCTGTGTTTTTGTTCATCACTCGTGCAGTAGCCCTTGTACTTTTTGAATCACGGGATGGCCACTGTGTCAGGCTGTGCTAACTCAGGTGGTGTGGGAATACATGATTTGTATTCGCCAAGGGTTAACTTATCTTAGTGTGCCCCTGCGTGGTCTGGAGTCTATGTGTAACTAGTTGTAATGATATAAATCCAACTTTTATTCAGCATGATTCATTTTTTTACCCCAGATTTCATTAGTTGGGGTTTTATGCCCCGAAACTTAGTGTTTACAAAAACTCTGAGGGATACCCTTGAAATTTATTGTGAATCCTGGTCCACCATATCTCCATCTGGGGGCTGTCTTCAGTGGTCCTCACCAGGACTAATAGTTCCTAGTTGGCATGGTGCACATTCTTCCCAAGACATTCCCTATTTGTTGTGGTGATCGACCTTGCATGGCCCCCGTATTCACTAATAAATACACAATTTTTAAATGTTGAGTAAGTTCCAATTTTAAGCTGAATTGCAAAATAAGATTCCCAAATTATAAAATCTTCACAATTTCATTAGGAAGGCGTCAGTTTAGACCAGAACCACTTGGAGTGTTTGGGCCTACACATCGATTTCAATCCTGAAAACACGCAATTACACAAAAGTTTTATTGAAGAATAATCTCTTGGCCAACAATTTCCATAATGGAGAAGTCCCGTCACAAGCATGGGTAGCCACCTAAAGACTTCTTAATTTCCAAACTTGGGAGCACATGGCTATACGAATGGAGACCCATGGACATGTCCTTTTGTATGTCTGACCTACAACTTAGCTAACCCGATTCACCAGATAGAACCCCGCGTATCAGAGAGTTCAAAACTCCAGACCGTCGCATAGCGTGGCCAGCTACCTCAAATAAGATTTCCAAAGTGTTGGCATAACAAAATCCAATGGAAGGTTAATCATAGGCAGCCCGTCCCCGATAGAAGTTTTAAGTACAATCGCGGAGAGCGTGGGTCTGGAACTCCATACAATTCCTCAAGTCCCCAACAACTGAGAAATTAATTATACACAAACATTTTATCTCGGACCAGCAGAGGGCTAAACCTCTGCATTTCGTTCGCCATGTAGGTTGAGAGCTTTCCTTAAGCAGCAAAGTCCCTGCACAAGCATGGGTGGCCAGCCGTAACAGAGCATTGTTTTCCAAACCTGGGAGCAACATGGCTATACGAATGGAGACCCTTAGTGTCATCTTGTCTCTTTTGTATACTGACCCATAACAGACAGTTAAAAATGCTTAACAATCCATACCACCGACGGGGATAGAACCCGCGATCAGAGAGTCTCAAAACTCCAGACCGTCGCATTAGCCGCTGGACCAGCTAGCCACAATAAGATTCATCCAACTGTGTATTCATCCAACTAGATATATTTCTACACCATAGGAAGGTTAGCATAGGCACCACTGTGACCACAAATGCAAGTTTTTACAGACGAATCTCCAGCTAGCGTGGCCGTGACGAACTCTAGTTCAAGTCCCCTCAAAGTCGTCAACATGACTGACGAAATCGTAATGACACGATTACAAACAAACCATACCACGGTTTGAGGGGACTTGAACTAGAGTTCGTCACGGCCATGCTAGCTGGAGATTTGTCTGTAAAAACTTGCATTTGTGGTCACAGTGGTGCCTATGCTAACCTTCCTATGGTGTAGAAATATACCTAGTTTAACGAATCGTATTGTGGCTAGCTGGTCCAGTGGCTAACGCGACGGTCTGGAGTTTTGCGACTCTCTGATCGCGGGTTCTATCCCCGTCCGTGGTATGGTTTGTTTGCAATCGTGTCATCACGATTTCGTGAGCCATGCTTAACAATCTGCGACACAAGTATAATTATGTGAGGTATTGGCTAAGCTGTTTAAGCACTGTGCAGTTAGTTCTGCCTGTGTGCGAAGTGCATAGGTTTGAATCCTCTTTTGATCCGGTCTGAGACCAGGCCTCCTGGTGGATCAGAGCCTGATCAACCAGGCTGTTGCTGCTGGCTGCACGCAAACCAACATACGAGCCACAGCCCGGCTGATCCGGAACTGACTTTAGGTGCTTGTCCAGTGCCAGCTTGAAGACTGCCAGGGGTCTGTTGGTAATCCCCCTTATGTGTGCTGGGAGGCAGTTGAACAGTCTCGGGCCCCTGACACTTATTGTATGGTCTCTTAACGTGCTAGTGACACCCCTGCTTTTCATTGGGGGGATGGTGCATCGTCTGCCAAGTCTTTTGCTTTCGTAATGAGTGATTTTCGTGTGCAAGTTCGGTACTAGTCCCTCTAGGATTTTCCAGGTGTATATAATCATGTATCTCTCCCTCCTGCGTTCCAGGGAATACAGGTTTAGGAACCTCAAGCTCTCCCAATAATTGAGGTGTTTTATCTCCGTTATGCGCGCCGTGAAAGTTCTCTGTACATTTTCTAGGTCGGCAATTTCACCTGCCTTGAAAGGTGCTGTTAGTGTGCAGCAATATTCCAGCCTAGATAGAACAAGTGACCTGAAGAGTGTCATCATGGGCTTGGCCTCCCTAGTTTTGAAGGTTCTCATTATCCATCCTGTCATTTTTCTAGCAGATGCGATTGATACAATGTTATGGTCCTTGAAGGTGAGATCCTCCGACATGATCACTCCCAGGTCTTTGACGTTGGTGTTTCGCTCTATTTTGTGGCCAGAATTTGTTTTGTACTCTGATGAAGATTTAATTTCCTCATGTTTACCATATCTGAGTAATTGAAATTTCTCATCGTTGAACTTCATATTGTTTTCTGCAGCCCACTGAAAGATTTGGTTGATGTCTGCCTGGAGCTTTGCAGTGTCTGCAATGGAAGACACTGTCATGCAGATTCGGGTGTCATCTGCAAAGGAAGACACGGTGCTGTGGCTGACATCCTTGTCTATGTCGGATATAAGGATGAGGTGCTGGGGCTGACATCCTTGTCTTTGTCGGATATAAGGATGAGGTGTCGGATATAAGGATGGTTTGCTTCCTCTATTAATTTGTTAATTTTAATCTGTGCATGGATTTGACCAAGTTCATTAAGGCTACAGTTCACCCAGACACTAACATCATGAATACTTTAGTCGTCAAGAGAGGAATGAAGCATTTATGGTATATATACTGACAGAAATACACCTTTTATGGTATATATGTCTCTAGGAGTTATTATCAGTACCAACTAAAAACTTAAGAATTATCGAAATGTTTTTATAGTAGCATTCAAGTATGTATTAAGAATATTTTTCTTCCTTGATTCTGGGCTACAACACACGATTGTTGAAGATTCTGGGCTACAACTCGCGATTGTTGAAGATTCTGGGCTACAACACGCGAGTGTTGAAGATTCTGGGCTACAACACGCGATTGTTGAAGATTCTGGGCTACAACACGCGATTGTTGAAGATTCTGGGCTACAACACGCGATTGTTGAAGATTCTGGGCTACAACACGCGATTGTTGAAGATTCTTTTGTGAACAGACATTATTTTTGCACTTTAACAGTGGAAGACTAAATACTATGACTGTTGAAAATTTCCATGTGTTTTCCAAATAAACATGTTGTATTTGTCGGATTATATATTAGTATTATCCTTTTGTCCATACCCTCGCCTCCCCACTCACATATAAGATGGATGTTCTACTAAATATAGAAACATCCGCAACATCTACTACACCAACACATATAGGGAAGGTGGTTCACTGGATCTAGGAACACATATATTCATATATACACAAGCCGGTGTTCCACTTTTAGCAACATACATGGGAGTAAATACACAAGCAAGCGATGTAATATGTTATATTCAAAGTTTTATAATAAAATAAAAGCTTGTCACAGGATGTGTCATGTGTGTGTGTCATCAATACTCCGGTGTACATGAAATATCCAGTGTTTGTGTCGTAGTATTCCTGGGTGCTACAGTATACGTGTTCACTGTTTACTTCATTACCCTGTAATATTCTGGCTGCAGTGTACGAGACGCGTCTATTCTGAGCTTCGGAGTTCAATCCCAGCATGTGTATGCATGCGTGTGTGTGTGTATTATATATTATAATATATATATATATATATAATAATATATCTATATATATATAATAATATATATTATATATATATTATATAATATTATATATTATAATATATTGTCGTGCCGAATATGTAAAACTGGTCAATTAGCAAGAACTCATTTAAAATTAAGTCCTTTCCAAAATTTTCTCTTATACGTTTAAAGATATATTTTTTCATTAATGTTAATGTAATTTTTTAATTTTGCACCAAAAGAAACTTACAAAACTTAACCTAACCTTGTTATAACAAGAGCAATTTATTTTAGCCTAACCCAACTAAATATATTTTAGATTTGTTTACAATAATTTAATACTAAACAAACACAGTGAAATACATTTTTTTTCGTTAGGTTTAGAATGATTTTGGCGAAAATTTTTGCATACACAAATTTTCACTTGTCCTATATGGCAAGATGAGCGTTGCTATTTAAGCCAAGATCGCAAGTTCTGCCTATTCGCACGACATATATATATATAATATATATATATATATATATTATATATAATATAATATATATATATATATATATATGTAATATATTAGGTAGTAGGTTGGTAGACAGAACACCAACCAGGAAGTACTACCGTCCTGCCAGATGACGTGAAACAGAAACCTGTAACTGTTTTGCATGATGGTAGGATTGCTGGTTTCTTTTATCTGTCTCATAAACACCTAGATAACAGGGATATCTGCTACTCCTTACTTACACTTTGGTCACACTTCACAGACAGCTCCACATGCATATATATATACATACATCTAGGTTTTTCTCCTTTTTCTAAATAGCTCTTGTTCTTCTTTATTCTTCTATTGTCCATGGGGAAGTGGAAAAGATATCTTTCCTCCATAACCATGCGTGTCGTAATGAGGCGACTAAAATGCCGGGAGCAATGGCTGCTATAACCCCTTCTCCTGAGACATTTACTAAAAAGAGAAGAAGAAAAACTTTATAAAACTGGGATGCTTAAATGTGCATGATTGTAGTGCGGATGACAAGAAACAGATGATTGCTGATGTTATGAATGAAAAGAAGTTGGATGTCCTGGCCCTAAGCAAAACAAAGCTGAAGGGGGTAGGGGAGTTTCAGTGGGGGGAAATAAATGGGATTAAATCTGGAGTATCTGAGAGAGTTAGAGCAAAGAAAGGGGTAGCAGTAATGTTAAATGATCAGTTATGGAAGGAGAAAAGAGAATATGAATGTGTAAATTCAAGAATTATGTGGATTAAAGTAAAGGTTGGATGCGAAAAGTGGGTCATAATAAGCGTGTATGCACCTGGAGAAGAGAGGAATGTAGAGGAGAGAGAGAGATTTTGGGAGATGTTAAATGAATGTATAGGAGCCTTTGAACCAAGTGAGAGAGTAATTGTGGTAGGGGACCTGAATGCTAAAGTAGGAGAAACTTTTAGAGAGGGTGTGGTAGGTAAGTTTGGGGTGCAAGGTGTAAATGATAATGGGAGCCCTTTGATTGAACTTTGTATAGAAAGGGGTTTAGTTATAGGTAATACATATTTTAAGAAAAAGAGGATAAATAAGTATACAAGATATGATGTAGGGCGAAATGACAGTAGTTTGTTGGATTATGTATTGGTAGATAAAAGACTGTTGAGTAGACTTCAGGATGTACATGTTTATAGAGGGGCCACAGATATATCAGATCACTTTCTAGTTGTAGCTACACTGAGAGTAAAAGGTAGATGGGATACAAGGAGAATAGAAGCATCAGGGAAGAGAGAGGTGAAGGTTTATAAACTAAAAGAGGAGGCAGTTAGGGTAAGATATAAACAGCTATTGGAGGATAGATGGGCAAATGAGAGCATAGGCAATGGGGTCGAAGATGTATGGGGTAGGTTTAAAAATGTAGTGTTAGAGTGTTCAGCAGAAGTTTGTGGTTACAGGAAAGTGGATGCGGGAGGGAAGAGGAGCGATTGGTGGAATGATGATGTAAAGAGAGTAGTAAGTGAGAAAAAGTTAGCATATGAGAAGTTTTTACAAAGTAGAAGTGATGCAAGGAGGGAAGAGTATATGGAGAAAAAGAGAGAGGTTAAGAGAGTGGTGAAGCAATGTAAAAAGAGAGCAAAGGAGAGAGAGGGTGAGATGTTATCAATAAATTTTGTTGAAAATAAGAAAAAGTTTTGGAGTGAGATTAACAAGTTAAGGAAGCCTAGAGAACAAATGGATTTGTCAGTTAAAAATAGGAGAGGAGAGTTATTAAATGGAGAGTTAGAGGTATTGGGAAGATGAAGGGAATATTTTGAGGAATTGTTAAATGTTGATGAAGATAGGGAAGCTGTGATTTCGTGTATAGGGCAAGGAGGAATAACATCTTGCAGGAGTGAGGAAGAGCCAGTTGTGAGTGTGGAGGAAGTTCGTGAGGCAGTAGGTAAAATGAAAGGGGGTATGGCAGCCGGGATTAATGGGATAAAGATAGAAATGTTAAAAGCAGGTGGGGATGTAGTTTTGGAGTGGTTGGTGCAATTATTTAATAAATGTATGGAAGAGGGTAAGGTACCTAGGGATTGGCAGAGAGCATGCATAGTTCCTTTGTATAAAGGCAAAGGGGATAAAAGAGAGTGCAAAAATTATAGGGGGATAAGTCTGTTGAGTATACCTGATAAAGTGTATGGTAGAGTTATTATTGAAAGAATTAAGAGTAAGATGGAGAATAGGATAGCAGATGAACAAGGAGGCTTTAGGAAAGGTAGGGGGTGTGTGGACCAGGTGTTTACAGTGAAACATATAAGTGAACAGTATTTAGATAAGGCTAAAGAGGTCTTTGTGGCATTTATGGATTTGGAAAAGGCGTATGACAGGGTGGATAGGGGGGCAATGTGGCAGATGTTGCAGGTGTATGGTATAGGAGGTAGGTTACTGAAAGCAGTGAAGAGTTTTTACGAGGATAGTGAGGCTCAAGTTAGAGTATGTAGGAAAGAGGGAAATTATTTCCCAGTGAAAGTAGGCCTTAGACAAGGATGTGTGATGTCACCGTGGTTGTTTAATATATTTATAGATGGGGTTGTAAGAGAAGTGAATGCGAGGGTCATGGCAAGAGGCGTGGAGTTAAAAGATAAAGAATCACACACAAAGTGGGAGTTGTCACAGTTGCTTTTTGCTGATGACACTGTGCTCTTGGGAGATTCTGAAGAGAAGTTGCAGAGATTGGTGGATGAATTTGGTAGGATGTGCAAAAGAAGAAAATTAAAGGTGAATACAGGAAAGAGTAAGGTTATGAGGTAACAAAAAGATTAGGTGATGAAAGATTGGATATCGATTGGAGGGAGAGAGTATGGGGAGGTGAATGTATTCAGATATTTGGGAGTGGACGTGTCAGCGGATGGGTCTATGAAAGATGAAGTGAATCATAGAATTGATGAGGGGAAAAGGGTGAGTGGTGCACTTAGGAGTCTGTGGAGACAAAGAACTTGTCCTTGGAGGCAAAGAGGGGAATGTATGAGAGTATAGTTTTACCAACGCTCTTATTGGGTGTGAAGCATGGGTGATGAATGTTGCAGCGGGGAGAAGGCTGGAGACAGTGGAGATGTCATGTTGAGGGCAATGTTTTGGTGTGAATATAATGCAGAGAATTCGTAGTTTGGAAGTTAGGAGGAGGTGCGGGATTACCAAAACTGTTGTCCAGAGGGTGAGGAAGGGTTGTTGAGGTGGTTCGGTCATTGTAGAGAGAATGGAGCGAAACAGAATGACTTCAAGAGTGTATCAGTTTTTGTGGAAGGAAGGCGGGGTAGGGGTCGGCCTAGGAAAGGTTGGAGGGAGGGGTAAAGGAGGTTTTGTGTGCGAGGGGCTTGGATTCCAGCAGGCATGCGTGAGCGTGTTTGATAGGGGGTGAATGGAGACAAAATGGTTTTTAATACTCGACGTGCTGTTGGAGTGTAAACAAAGTAACATTTATGAAGGGGTTCGGGGAAACCCGGCAAGCCGGACTTGAGTCCTGGAGAGGGGAAAGTACAGTGCCTGCACTCTGAAGGGGGGGTTTGTAAATGTTGCATTTTAAAAAATTTGTAGTGTAAAGCCCCTTCTGGCAAGACAGTGATGGAGTGAATGATGGTGAAAGTTTTTCTTTTCGGGCCACCCTGCCTTGGTGAATCGGCCAGTGTGATATAAATATATATATATATATATATATATATTATATATATATATTTTATATATATATATATATATATATATAAAATATATATATATAATATATCGGTACTACAATCCTCCCAAATTTGAGTGTAAAACGAAAGCCTGTAATTGTTTACATGAGGGTAGGATTGCTGGTGTCTTTTGTCTGTCTCTTTAAATATGCAAGATTACAGGTGCGTCTTGCTATTCTACTTACACTTAGGTCACACTAAACATACATGTACACGTTTATTTATACACACTCATCTGAGTTTTCTTTGATTTTATCTTAATAGTTCTTGTTCTAATTACTTTTCCTTTTATATCCATGGGGAAGTGGAATAAGAATCTTTCCTCCGTAAGCCATGCGTGTTGTAAAAGTC